CTGTTGCAGTGAGTTGTTTAGTCCTTCAGGTTACTAAAGAGTTACTTTTCACTGTTTTTGTCCAGGACAAAGGCAAACAGTTGCTGTAAGTTTTCCTTTTACTGCATCTGCTATCTTATACTTTAAAGTGAGTGAAGACTAATAGGAAGTTTTTTGTTCGTTGTTCAGAATGATTATAAAGGTAATAAAAACTAGAAAGTTGTCAAAAAGTTTCCTAGAATTGTTCACACATCTGTGTGTTTTATTACACAGGTGTTGTAATCAGTGATGTCAAATGGCTGTGCTTTATCAGAAGTTTGTATGTTTGGATTAAATAGATTTGCCCACTTCTAATTTTATGTAAACCATTAACAAAATGGAACATTGTTGAAAATAGGGATGACCGTATTGATCGTTTGATTTTTTAAATTTTTTTTTTTTAAAAAACAGTTACATGCGTTGTCTCAACACTCTGTGTGTCAGAATTATTTTGTCAACAGTTAGTAACTGGCAAAAGTCCTGAAGCATGAGGGGCTTCTGTTACCATTTCAAAATTTCTAATTATAATAACAACATGTTCTTTGATCTGTATTTGTGAATATTTCATTTTATGACTTTCCATTTGTTACCCATACTTTCAGTGATAGTTCCCTTGTTGGGTCTCATATTGTGTATTTTTACAAAGCGACTCTTAATCTTCCCTGTGAGATAACCATAAGATATTTTCAGTTCCTTCTCAAAAAGTAGTTTTCCATATCTCAAAGTGAATTCATTAACACTTGACCTAGTAGTTAATTTTGCACAACCAAATTGTTTGTTTTGCCTTAATGAAATACATTTTGTTTGTTTCTGATTTGGATTCACAGCAAGTTTTTGTCAACTTCATTACTATTCAAACAACATATCACATACAGTTGAAAGCTGAAATCAAAGCTGAAATCTGTTGATGGTGGTTTCTTTTTTTTTTTTTCCTTCACAATCTTCTTTGGTATTCTTGTGATTTTAGTATATTTTAATCTGGTTTGATACATGCTGAGAGCTTTCCTAGTTATTGCTGGCCAATCATGTTTTCTTCAAAACCTTAAGACAGACCATGGAAATTTTTAGCACGCTCTTATCCTTTGAATAGTATGGAACAATGTATTGGGTGCTTTTCAGGGTCAGAATGCCAAATAGTGGGTCAGAAAGCTCAATCAGCTTTATCAATAGCAAGACTTTCTAAATGGCTATTTTTACACAACAACATATCTTTTCAATGATAGAATGAAGTTTAAAAACTTGTCAGTGATACCATACGTAATAAAAATTCACCTTTTTGTATAAACCTTAGCATCTCTGCTTTTTCCCCTCAAAAAGAATTGCAGCGAATTTCCTTCTCTAACTTAAGATTGGAGGCCTTTCTTTCTTCTCTTGGCTAAGATTGCTACTGCTTCTTTTGCCACCCTGTTCCTTCCCCCACTCTCAATTGAGGGGGAAAGGGTAAAAAGGATGGAACCTCCAATGTTCTTTCATACCATTCCCAAGCTAAATGTTTCTTGTCTAGACTGCTAATACTTCACGTCTGCACTGGATTTAACACTTCCCTGGCTTCAGGCTGCTTTTATTTATTGCAGCTTTCTGAAAACATACTGATAAAATATTATCCATCTTATTGTAAGAAAACTTAAACGCTCAGTATTTTTACTAAATTTATGAACTTATACTAAATCTTTTCCTGTAAGTGTGATATAATAGATGGCAAAAATATGAATTGGCTTCTTGAATTAAAAAGTATTATCCATACCTGCAGTACATATTCTGTTGGAAATTCTTCTAAAAGACCCATTAATAGTGGTGTTATACAGCACAGTGATGAAATATTAATATATAGATACATCTATGAAGACCGATTTTTCCAAATCTATTAAAAATTAATTGAAAATATACCTGATCATAATAAACATACCTTATTTAAATAACCATGTCTCAGAGAGTTACTGTTGAATTTTGACTAGTTTTGTTAGGCTCACTGGTGTTAATGTAGCATTCTGGCAATGTATGACTTAAACATGCAATTGTCATATTTCTAGGGCTTTGTCACAAAATAATGAAATTACTTTTAGTGCATGCAAAAGTGTTCTAAACTTAGGGATTTTTAACTGTTCTTAAACTAAAACTCATTATCCTTGCACTAAGTTGATTTTTTTCAGCCATTAGGTTTACTTGGTCATCAACAGTTGTATGAGTTTGATTTGCTTATATTTAGAACAGTTTTCTCTCCTGGCTGGTGAGCACTAAACAGAGAAGTTGCCATCTTTACAGTAAACACTGTAAACAATGAAAGTATTCTTTTGGAGGAAATGAGCACACTAGAAATCTTACCTGAAATGTTCCATGTTTCAAAAATGTAATGCTTTGTATTATGTTGTCATGTATTATATCTTATTTCAGTATATGAAAATAACTTTGAATTATCCATTTTATATACACTTACGTTTGTTTAATTTGTAGAAACTCATAAAAAAATGTTTAGTGGCTATTGAGCCCTGAATGAAAGTCCCATCTAAAACGTCTGTATATTCCACTTCAGTTAGTATTTAAAAGATAACAAATTCTTACTTTATGTAAATCACATGCTTGTATGGTGCTTGGCTGTTTTCCTTGATCTATTTAATTTGCTACTTATCTTCATAGTTTAAGTTCTTCAAGACAGGAATTGTCTCTCTCTCTGTCCTTTCTCCCCTTTTGTCAGTAGAGTAGCTAGTTCTGTGGTTCCAATGGTGACTGAAATGCTGAGATTTACTGCAATAAAAGGTACTCAAAAGAGCAGCAGGGCTGTATAGTTATTTTTTTAACAATTTCTTATGCCTTAAAATATTTCTTTTAAACAAGTAACTGAATTTTAAGCATTTCAGATAACAAGTCTATCCAAGTAAACCTTAGCACACAGTAATGGTGTAGTTGTATATAAAAAGGTACAAACATATAAACAGGAACACTTTTTATATTCTATTAACTACCAGCTGCTAAGAATTCAAGGACCTTCAACTTTGTTCTACTGGAGTGGATTGTAAGATACAGTTCGTACATAAATCTAGTCTAAAACTATGATTTTTATTATTTTCTTTAATGCTATTTTGAAAAAGTAGAGCAAGGGTTAGGTAGTCTTTTTGAAGCTGAAGATACAGTTTAGCTGATGTTTGGGATGTTACTCGCTGATGTTAAAGCTTATTAATAAAGTAAACTATTTGACTCATCCTAGTATGTTTTTTAAAACAGGTGAGGCTAATGATAAGGATGTTCAGGTGGTGGAACTTCCCATTGTTGACAGCTTACACCCACGGCCACCTTATTTACCATTGGCTATCCCTGAAGATCTGGCTGATAGGCTAATTCGTGTACATGGGGATCCTGCAGTGTGGTGGGTCTCACAGTTTGTGAAATACTTGATTCGTCCACAGCCTTGGTTAGAAAAAGAAATAGAGGAAGCTACAAGGAAACTTGGTTTCAAACATCCAGTGATCGGGTGGGTATTTTCTTTCACAGTTTTCTTTTTAACTGCCTGTGGTCTAATATGTGTATATAGTGATTCCTGTTCAGGACAAATTGTTTTATGATAGTTATCTAAGAGCCTCAAGCATTTTGCGGGGAGAGAGGGTGCTTTCTAGGTGAAGCTGTTATTTTTTTTTAACTGTGCATAATACAAGTTGATCATAAGTACTTCTTCAGCATACTTACCTACCTGTAGTTGGACAGATATATGAAAGGCGGCTCAGTAGAAGGTTTTCTTATATGTCCTTCCATATCTAGAAATGTAATACAGAATTTCATTCATGAATTGCCTTACAGCTTGTATTCCAGACACTTTTCTGTCTGGGTCTTCTTTTCAAGTGCCTATAGCCTTTACATTTGAGGAAAAATTTTACATGCCATAATCCACAACTAATTTTAATGTTGGCTGCACCTGAACATGGTATGTGCCTTTCTGATGTTTTCACTGTTGTTGTTTCTTAGCAGTAGCTATGAATTGGAAAGGTCTGTATGGGGTGATATGGGGAGAAGGAAAGCAAGCACCTATGGGCAGTAAAGAGCAGCTTGTGAAAGAAAGGTTTTATTGTCATGTAATGTGAAAAATTTTGCTGCTGCTGTACTAGAGTCTGCAAATATTGCTTCCTTTGCCAGAATTTTCCTTCAATCCTTAATCTTTATTTTTGTAGGAGTACACAATAGTTCTGTCCAAACATTAGTTGGCTTTTGACCATTGAGTTGGTAGGCCACTTCACCAGTGGCGAATCTGAAGACTTCTTAGGTTTCAAGCAGATGGGGAAGATGCATTTTTAACTACGGTCATTCAAACCCTGCGCTGTAGTTGGTGTCCCAATATATCCATCATGTAAATATTCCTATTTTGCTTTTGAACTGTATTGATCAAGCATTATCTAACTACACCAGGTAACTTAACCTTCTACACAAAAGGAATACCTTGTATGCTATAATTAAATCTTCTTCATTCTTTTCTTTTATTTACCCTTTGCGTTCTTTGCAAGATTATTACATTGCTTTCAAGAACAGACTGACAGTTTACTTCATGTTGTCAGTGTGTCTGGATGGACATCAATGAGTTTTAATCCTTCCTTGTTTTATGTAGGGATTTAATTTAATGTGCATTCTAAAAGCACAGGCTTGAAATTTGAAGTTAAAATTTCAGTTGCTAAAGTACGTATTGTATTTATAAATTGAATTCCTAGTTTCTGCCTTTTTCCAGTGTTCACGTTCGAAGGACAGACAAAGTAGGAACAGAGGCAGCATTTCATCCCATTGAAGAATATATGATCCATGTTGAAGATCGGTTTGAACTTCTTGCTCGCAGAATGCACGTTGATAAAAAAAGAGTGTATTTGGCTACAGATGACCCTTCATTGTTGCAAGAGGCAAAATCCAAGTAAGATGAATTATGTTTATATTACAGTTTGTTCCTTCTGGTTAGCTTTACAATTTCTGACAATTGTGTGCACAAATCTTAGTATCTTGGTTTTTTTGTTGCTGTTATCATTTACATGGTTAAGAATCATTTCTGCTTCCAGTGATTTTGATTTTTCTCTCATTCTCTTTTTTGGATTTTTTTTTTTTTTTCCTCCCCAAGTATGCTTTTCAAAGCTTAATGTTAATAATCTAGAAGAGTTGTGCAAGATACCTGTGACTATTTAAAGGCAAACCAATGCTGTAAAAGGGAAGTAAAAAAACCAAATACATTAAACTTCTTATAGAACATACATATTAAAAAGAAACTATTCAGAAATATTGTAAACACTAGTTAATATATTAAGAAGTTTCACCTGTCCAAAAAATACCTTTCTGTGAGTAGTTGCCAGAGAAATTTTTGTAAGTTGGTTGAAGAGCTTCTGATGACTCTTTCAGACAGATTTCTATATTGACACCTTAGAAGACTTTCACCTTACATGCTGAATAATTTTAAAGTTTGTCCTTAAATATATGTGGGATTCTCGATCTGCAACGTTGTCTCTGTCCCTTTTTTGCTTTGTCCTCTTCTAGCTCTACAGAACATGGGTGTAACAACCTACCCTAGCTATAGGATATCCCAGCCCATCATAGAAAATATAACTGTGTTCAAACCTGGAAATTTACTCCTAACATGGCCTGTATTTTTCTGTAAAAAGTCATTGTTAAGTTGCATGTTTTGCAAGGTGTCACTGAGATGGCAAAACCTTCTGTTTAGTAAAAGAAAGCAGATGCATATGGAAGACTAATGTGCCATATTTAACTGTATCTTGGGTGATGGTGTTTATGGAATATAACAAATTTCACAAATGCTTATTGCCATGACTATGGAAACTTGGATAAGTATTTCAGATCCATTGAATTTAAGTGTATTCGTTACCAAGTACAAGTTAGCATGTTTTCCTTTTGAGTACTATTTATTTGTCTACTGAATAGCACCTATTTCTGTTTCCAAAACTTTATCTCCCTTGAGGAGAAGAATATGTATTTTTTCATTTAAGCCAGGAAATTAAGACTTTTTAAAATCAAGGTAACTCAAAAATGGCAAATTTTTCAACTGTTTTATTCTTGGTAGACATGCTTGGAAAAATATGTAAGATAACATACTGGATTACAAATTTTCTTTGGCATATACAAGGTAAGCAGAAAATGTTATTTTGTAGTAGAGGAATTTTCTACAGCGTTGCAAACCTGTGTATTTCAATTGTGCTATTTCTATTTTTCTTTCATATCTATAAAGGCCTGCTGTTTAAAATTATGGAGTTTTGAAAAAACTAAACGAACATACACAACTCCAGATGATGGCAATCTAATCCTTCCTTTTTTGTATATGTAGAGACAAGAACAGTAGCAGAAACAATTATGATAACATAACATTTAAAGTGCAAATCTGAACAATGAAAAGACAGGTAATACAAAATCGAGGTTATAATGTTTAATTTATTACATTGTCCTAAATAACTTTAATTACTGTTTGTAACATAACAGAATTCAGTATTGCTGTAACAATCTTAGTTATGCATTTTTTCTTTATTTGTGTTCAACTTGCAATCCTTAGTAATGCATACTTTAGCTTTGTGAATAATAATGAGATGCGCTACCTATGTAAATGTATTTTCCCAAGTTTTCAGTAGCAAGTTTTCAATAGCAACAAAAACTAATAGAATTGTGACTTGCTCAGTAAAACAATAGTGAACTTTATTAAGCATTGCAGTTTCTGTGGCAGTTCCAAATCACACTTTTATTGAAATATGATAAGATACAGCTCATTAGTACAGCATTCATTTTCTTAATAAAAGCCATAGAATCTGTAAGTAGTGAAGAATTTTTTAATGTGTTGCTGCTGAGTTTTCAGGTCATAGTTTACACTGAAACAGAATTTCCAAAATGGCTTGCACCCTACTGTTGCTTGCTGTCGAGTAGAAGGCATCTGAAACTTCCTGTGATTTCATAGAAGGCAGGATGCAATTTGATGTTTCATCATTTAAGGGCATCTGAAGGCAGGTTAAGGTCAGGTTTTGGGAATAAAGAACCTTTTCTTCCTCTTCTTGTGAAGAAAACTACAAATTAGTTTACACTTCTGACACAAAAGTTCTGTCACATTGAACTACCAAGCTTTGACAGAAGCAGCTGTCATGTTGTACTGCAGTAGCTTATGTTGCATTCATTGTTGGGTGCAGTAATATTAGTAAGTACTAGATACTATATCTCTCTTTACATGAGAGTGATTGGCTGTCAAATAACGTTGGCATGTAAATAATGAAAATTTATCCAACATTCATATGAATAGACATGTTGTTTCTATTAAGAGAAGTATTTCAAACTATTCATTGTCATGAAAACAGAAATGTTTTGACTTAAGTTTCAGAAATTTCCCTTGCAGTCAGATGTCTACCAACTGCAAGTACAGTAGTAAAGACAGTGGAGTCAGTAGTACCAGTTTGTAGAGTGTTTTTGTTTGGTTTGTTTTCCAAAAGAAAGAAAGAAAGATATATTTTCAGGATTAGGGTGATGTAGAACAACATGATTAGAGAGGAGCATGGTTGAGAGTTCAACAGCTGTATAAAACCACTTGACAGCTTCTGGTAAGCAGAGGTCATGGTACTTGTCTTATATAAGTGGTATGTTAGGGATGGTGTAAATTGCTTGTTCTTTGGCTGATTTAATAGTTTTCAAATGCAAGCTTCTGAATTTCTAGTGTATGTATTTCTAGTCTATAATATTATTGACGGCATCTTCTCTCTTTAGAGTATTCAAAATAATGCAGCTGAAAATGCACATAAATTCTGAAGAAACCATATTTAATACCTTTCTGGTTTATGTATGAATCTATTTAGGTCTCTTTCTCATGTATATGAGCACTAAAATTCAGTAAATTACATTCTTCCTTTCAGGTTGTTTACCTGTACAGTCATCTGTATTTTGCTTTTTCATTGTTTTGCAGTAATTTGCCTCCCTCATGAGGGTTTGTTTTTTTTTTTCCAGCACTTATGAAAGCTTTTTTTCCCCACCCTATTTCACTGTTTATTTACTTCCACAATAGCAAGTTAATGTCTTTTCTCCCTGTGTACTATCTGTAGTTTAGCTGTTGCAACCCTCCCTGCCCCTGAGTGATAGTATGCCTAGTATATAGAGTTCATAGTGCTTCAAAGTTCTTGAGTCTGATGAACAGCTGATACATTTTCCAATTCTTTTTAGGGCACGACCTGAACAAACACATTATTTCTTGTTCCACCTGTTTACACACATGCTCACACTCTTCTTTCAGAGGGAAGAAAACTTGCATTGTCTGTTCTGCACACTTCCCCAGTCCTCACAAATTGAGAACAGGAGCCTGGGACTTGTCTTCGTTTGCACCCACTGCATAGTGTAGCGATAAGCTATAGTTACACAACTAGTTGATCAGCTTCTGAAACCAATTGGAACGTGAAATAATCTCATAACTGTGCTTGATTTGTATGCTTATCTGAGACTGGTAGGGGCAGGAAGGAAAGATTTTAAACTCTCTCTTTCCCACCTTCTTCTGATTTCTTCTTTTCCCCTTTTTCTAGATGAGGGGGGGAATCCTTCCTGGCCTGTATATAGGTTTCAAGAACCTATTAGGTAGCTTTAGAAGAATTGGATATTATTTTTAGATATGTGGAGGAGATATACTACATATATGTAGTCTAATACAAAGAGAACAGTATTATGCCAGTTTCCATTCTTGCTTTTATATTCAGTCTGGTCCTTTCCTGTTATAGAGAAGAGAATGTGTGGGTAATTTCTTTGGAAAGACCGCAGGAATACTACAAAATGCTGTATTTAGGTGATTCTGTCAGTAAGAATATGACATCTTATTATTTATTATTCATTTACCACGCATTCAGGAATACTAGTAATAGGATTGTACCTGAGTTCTGTTTAAAAAGGAAAAAAATTCCCCAAAAGCTTGCAATGTATTACATTAGTCATAATATAAATATAGACAGAAAAGGGAATAGAAGGAAGCAAGAGCTAACTATAGAGCTTTAGAAGTTTCATTTCCCTTATTCTTTGTAGTCATTGTGGTAAGAATAGCTTTAAATAGAATCTAAAGCACTATAGTGAGCGGGAAGGAGAATTAAACCTCACCTGATGCAGGAAGTCAGTGGGCCACCTATGGCTAAGCTTGAGAGGTGTATAGGCTTGGCCTTTCACTGTATTTTTCCTTATGCTCTGCTTTCAGTATGTGTTGGAAACAGGGTGGTGGACTAGAAGATTCTTTGGTGGCACTGAGTATGGCTGCTATTATACTCGCCTTTTAGGGTGTTTAAAAGAAACCTTTTTTCTCAAGCATTAATATAGCATTGTGTGTGTTGGACAACATAAAAGTGCTTGTTTGAAAACTTAAACATGTGAGTGGATAAATACTAAGCTTGGATCACTGGTTTGAAGAAATGAGTTCTGAAGCTGTTGGTTAGGTGAATTTGGATCAACTTTACAAAATGGAATTGAAGACCAGATCTAAAAGCATCTCAAAGACTGTTTCCAGAACAAAGGGAAGAAGGAGAAAATTCTAAACATATGCATAAGAAGATGTGTAAATAATTCTGATTTTTTTTTTTACCAGATCCAATATGACACTTTTTTTTGATGTGCATCATTTATCAAGTTACTAGCCTGATCTTTTGCTAGTAAGAAATCAGATTCTTCAAGAAAGGTTCTTTTGTCTCTACTCAGCATGTGGATTCTGATTTTTGAATTCTGAAGGAAGTGATTAATTTTAGCAGTATTCCCGAGGCCAAGAACTTGCAAATGTGCAAATATCTTTACTGTGTTCATTGTCCTTAGAAATGACATCTTCGCTTAAATGTTCTTCATGTTGCTCCCCTCAGAGTTGTGTCACTGAAATAAGACTGATGCCCATCTCTGCTCCTCAGCTAGTTTTCACAGTAGAGTATGACATATTTCTGTTTGATCTGCACTTTTTTTTTTCTTTTTTAAAAAATACTAATGATTCACACAATGGAAACAGAATATTTCACAAATATTGTGTTGTCATCTGTTGTTTTTTGAGAGCTAGTTAAATACTGACAAAAAATGTTAGACATGAGAAGATAAGAAAATGATCATTGTGATAAGAGTTCATCTTGAAAAAACTATTTCTTGATCCATATGCTTCTATAATTCCTCAAAAAAGGTCTTATCAGTTATTCCAAATGAATAATATTTCTACCTTCTCTTCCTTTTCTCTTTTTTGTTGGGTTTTTTTTTTGGGGGGGTGTATTTTTTTTAAATGAAGCTAGGTAATGTTGTTTTGTCTTGTTTTTAATGTAACATGAAATTCCCCTGACATTCATGATCAGATGGACCCTTTAAAGTTGTCATGCTATCTCTGGGAAAATTACCATAGATATATTATTTTTTGTTGGAGCAGGTGTTTCTCTTGGGAACATAAAATTCTATTAAAATCACTACAAAGATAAATTATAATTCTTCCTCAAATGTGAAAGTTTTGCATATGTCTTTTTGATTCGCTCTTGAGATAAATTTTCTGATTTGCTAGTCATGGCTAGTGAATTAGATGGAAAAGCCTGCTATATTTGCCCATTTCACTTTTGAAAACAGTTAAGCGTAAACCTTATTTTGAGCAATGTTCAGCACAGGACTGTCAGGCTTTGATGCGTCTAGTCTAAATTATTGTTGCTCCAGCATTACGGCCTGCTCTATATTCTGACTTTCTTTATTAAACGGCATAAGAATGATTAATTCTTACAAATGTATTATTAGCTGCCTTACTATCTTATGTAATATGTTCCTTTATAGCTGCTAGGAAGTTGTTAATTTGAAAAATATATTTTATTTAAATTATTTTATAATTAGCCCTGTACTTGAAATTTTGTAGTTGGCAGGTTAGTAGCATGAGTTGCACTTCATGAATGAAATATAATTATTGTGTAACAGCAATGTAATTATTATCTTTGTTACATCTACCTGGAATTCTTCATATAAAACTTACTTTTGCTGGCTGAAAATTTAATTAATTCATGCTACTTCTTGCAATTTATTTCAGATTTCAGTTCCCCAGTAGAGGGGTACAAATGTTTTGAGAAAGACCATTCTTTTTCAACATTTTTAAAAAGGATTTTTTTTCTTTCAAAGTCATTGTTACACATTAAAAACTTTTAATTTTGTTTTAAAAAGAATATAAACCAAGGTTTTATATTTCAAATAAAAATATTTTGACTTAAAGTATTAACTGTTTTATGATATGTAAAGAAAGGTGTATTACCATTAAATTTTACACTTCTTTTATTTCTTTTTGACCAGTAAATTGCAAAATTTCTCCATGCAGCCTTAATAATGGTGAAAGACTTTTTTTTGTTTGGTTGGTTTTTTTGTTAGTTTAGATTCATTTATTTAACAGGTCCCTTTTACAGGTGACTGATTTTCTTGCACAGTGTCATAATCAGTATCTAATAGAGAGTATGGTAATAAACAAAATGTAGTCTAGTAAAGACACAATCCCGTATTCTCTTTAGTAGTAAAGTGAAATGATCTGAGTATATTTCATCTAAAATCCGTGGCATTTGCAGAACGTGGCATATACTTCCTGATATTTTTTTCACTTCTTTTACAGTATAAGATCTCAGACAGACTTACAGTGTCTTTTTATCTAATTTTCTTTTTTTCTGAATAAAGAGAGGGCATGCTTGGAGGCAGCAGTAACATTTTAGAGTGTTCAGCAAAATTATAATTCATTCCCTGTAAAGCAGAGACTCACTTAAAACAAATTAACAACCTTATCTTGCAGCAAAGATGATGCTTCTTAAAAAATAAATAATTTAAAAAAACTAGAATAAGACTTTGCTGTTAACAGTGTATTGTATTTTCACAGGTATCCAAATTATGAATTTATCAGTGATAACTCCATATCCTGGTCAGCAGGACTTCATAACCGATACACTGAAAACTCCCTAAGAGGTGTTATTCTGGATATTCACTTTTTGTCTCAGGCAGACTTCCTGGTCTGTACATTTTCGTCCCAGGTAAACTGCAATACAAATACAATATAGAGTATATGTACCAGTTCTAAATCTTAGTTTTCTTCATGCTCCTGTTATCTTATTCTCAGTGCTTTCTTGTGAAAATTTCAGGGAAGAATTAAAGGCTCGGTATGCTATGTGAACATGTAGAGGACCGTAAGCACTGGTTGATTACTTCTCTTCAATTGAAGTTACTGGCTTAATTAAGACATTTGAAATAAGCAAGAAATAATATTAAACATGTTTAAGAGTTCCTTGTTTTGCATAATGTTAATGTATAACTTGTATCCATTTCTATGTGGCTTAGTTGAGGCATTTAAAATAAATAAAAATAATTTTAAACATGTTTAACACTTCTTAATTTTGCATAAAGTTAACATATAACTTGTGTCCATCTATTTCTGCACATCATTGCTCTCTACTACAGTTCAAAAAGGTCTGCCATTGCCTTAGTCGATTGTGGAAATGGAAAAGAATGAAGAAAGCAGACATTTAATTTCTCTTCAGTCTGTTACATTTCTAGCAACCCAGCGGCAGTGCAATAAATGTGAATTCTGACCACTGTAATCCATAGAGACTTCTTGTTGCAGATAAATGCTACAAGCTTCTGATGAAGCAAGTTGGAGTCCACTAGAAAACTGAACCATATAATTGTCATCGTTGGCATTTTCTTCTTTATTACGTCATATAGTATATTAATTTCATATATCATGATAAACTGTCTTAAAAAAACTGGTTTAGGATTAAAAAAGATCAGAAGGCAGTATTTTGTGACTGCTATGCTGATCCACCTAATTCAAGTGTGGCAAAATATGATTGAAATCAAATGAATGATTTTTACCTACTGTTGTCAGGTATGTTCCTTGGGTGACGCTCTTGGTTAGGAAAGCATTCAACTATAGATGGTGATAGATTATGATCACACATCATTGTACTGTTACATGGAAGTGGACACAAAACTGGAAGTTAAAATTCACGTCAAAAAGAAATGTTTTCCACAGCCTCAAATGTAAATTGTCTTCTGCACTGTAATGACAATTAGATAGGTAACAAGCATAATATTAATACTAATGTATGATCAATACAGTGTTATATTGACCTTGACAGCCATAATTCCTAATAACATTACCATGCAAGAAGACAGCAAAACCAGAAAAAATATAGAAAAGCCTCTTTTCCCTCAATCATGCTTGTGGATACATTTTTTTTTCACTGTTCGCCAAACCCTGTGAAGAAAATTATATTTTATAGCATATTCAGAAGTTCATTAACATAGGCTACTTCAGACCAAGACATGAATCCAAAGTAAAAATCCTCACTAAGAACAGCTTGTGAGGAGCCATCTACTTTTACGATAACGTTTGATTCAGCTTAAGTATGTCCATGTCCAGTGAATGCATATCACAGTGAAAGTGGTGATCGTCAGCCAAGACCTAGGGCTGTATGTCTTAAATGCCACAAACGCACTGGTGTAGAGACAGTTCATATTCTGAAGGAAGAATTACGTGGTCTTAGATAAAAACATAGTAAGAAACCTATAACATTTTCTGCTATTATTGTGTTCAGATAGCTGTGTTAAAGTGGTAAATGTTTGCTTTAAATAAAACACTGGCTATAAACGTAGAAGAAATGTTTAAATATAGGTACAAATGGCTTGGACATAATATATTTTAATTGAATTGTAAGTGTTGGAGTAATTTCAAAAGAAGAATATATATTAAAATACATTGACATAATTAAGGTGATACAGGTTGATGGGGACCTCTGGAGGTTGCCTGGTACGACTTCCTTTGAGGGTATCTGTGAGGTATATGGTATCTTTGAGCTCTGGTCTCATTTTGCATCTCCCTGCATTTGACAAGAGATGTGTTTGCTGGATGACATAGTTGGTTTTCCAAAGTTGCAGAAAATTTTACTAAAGTCTAGGAGATCCTGCGTTAGACTGTTACTCTCAATAGCTGGGACTATGAGTTTGGTCCAACCATCTACTTATTCTGGGGAATTTCTTGTGCTTTAATAATTCAAACTCCTCAAAAGTCATTTAGCACCAGTTTTGCTGGTTATGCAACAATGTGGATGTCTACAATATTTTCATATATTGGGCTTTTCTAAGGTCTGTTGCAAGTTTTCCCACTGTTCAGAAAGATTTCTCTTTTATGGGTTTAAAATTTGGTCCTCTAATCTCTAACATCTGAACTGCTATACCTGTCCTTTCATCAATGAAAGAAGCAGTTTGGTAGTTACTTTGGCATTGAAGGTAAGCAAAATCAGGCTGTTAATGACCATCATTTGTCCAGTCTGCATGAAGAAAAAGTAAGGATAAGAATGTAGTCTGATTTATTTCCAGTGTTATTTTGGACTTTCAGATTAATCAATTGCATGCTGACTTTTTTCCATTTTCTTTTCCTTGCCAAAAAGAGTCAAAACTTTGTTACAGAAGTACTAAGAGTAAATTATAGTATATGTGAATAGAGTCAGGTGCTTTAGGCAGACCCCTATATTAATTCTTATTTATGCTACTAAAACTAAATGAATACTGATATAAGCTGAAGAATAGATATTTCATTAAAATACTGTTGCTAAAGAAATCAGGCCCATCAAGGGAAGCAACCTACCTTGGCACTGTATTTCAGCAACATCGCATTAATTGAGATGTACAGAAAAGCCACGTGGTAGTTATACAATTCATAACACAGTAGCAGAATTAGGATTGCACATTAAAACAAAAAACTTTTTTGTCTTTTCAGTATTCATTTAGATGAAATCTGCCTGATGTATTTTTCTCCATAATCTTATTTCCTTCCAGGACTTATTAGTCTTTGTATTTTGCATTGTACATGTAAGTATACAGGCTGCAAAAGAAGTGAATTTATAACGAAAAGATGGGAGGCTGGCTTTAACTATGATTCTGCATGTGGATTCTTTGCTTACTGCCCTCAACAGCTTACAGCTTAGTTACCCAAGTTTGGTGCTACAAAGGAAACAATTGCTGAGAGGACATGTTGTATGTTTTATGTCAGGTATGCAGGACACTTACACTTGCTAAAAAGCATTTCTACTGAAAAGATTTAAAATCTTTTACAGAGAGAGTGTGTGTGTATCCTCCTCCTGGTGTACACACACATGCAGAGAACAAAACATCAAAAAGAGGCACAGAAGCTATAAAATAAATAACTTCTTACCAATGTATGGGTAATCAAATTTGTTTCTATAATACGGGGTATAACAAGTACTTTGAAATAATTAACTTCAGCCTGATCTTCTGAAAGCTACTTCTGAAAAGTTATTTCAAAGATCAGATGGAGAGGGATAAAAGGAAATCTATTATATTTTCAAAGCAAATGCCTCTCTCAAAGAAGGTAGGAAAGTACAAATAAGTCTAGTTACTGATCAAAGTTCTGTTCACTCTGTCTTCAGAGGGAGAAAAGTAAAATCAAGCTTTACTATATTTACATAGACTGAAAATTATGAAAAAGCTCAAATGCTTCTTCATATGGAAGAAGTCTGCTGTGTTTTTAGTTTATCAAGCTTATGCAAAATCAGAGAAAGATACAGTAACGTAGATTAGAATTCAGAAGGGTCACAGTGGCCAGATCAGACACCTGACAGAGAAGAGCTTTCTAGCCAGTTATTGAAAAGAGCTTTGTTTAATATAGTGGCAGCCTTTTGTGTTTCTGGCAGCTTTGAGAGATACAACACAATTCTGATGTGGGGATCTGTTTTCAGTCTGAAAAAAATTCCCTTCATAAAATGTGACACAATGATACTTCAAAATGCACCTTTCTCCTCACCAACATCATTACTGGCTTCCTGGAATTCAGTTTTATTTAGTTGTCTTCCAAGTTCCCAACAGTCATAATTCTGTCACTGTTCTAATATTAACAACATTTTAAAACTTTGGATTTCTGGAACCGCTTGATTGTGAAAATTGGAGCTTCCTTTAGAGAAGTAAATGTAAAGCCTCATTATTGCAGAATAAGTTTTGAAAATGTAAGTTCTAAAGGTTCAAAGGGAAGTAAAATAACAGTTTTTATTAGTAGTAGAAAAGGAAAACAAATTTGCTTTTACATTTGAGTGGCTACATATTAATTTTATAAAGCAGGATGGCTAGTGTTCATATAGAAGTTTTCAATTTTTACTGAAAAGTAGACTTTTAATTATTTATCTATTCATTTATTTACCAAATCTGATCATCAGAGTACTAATTAAAATGCTGCAAAATTGTATGCTGCTTGTTAGTAAATATGCAGGGTTTTTGTTTTCTTGACCTGGACATTCCAAAACTTGATCCTCTTGTGAAATTTAATTCTTACACATTGGTTGCTGACTTCTGTGATATATTGCAGGCACACACAATATTTATGACTTCTCTTCTGTTTTTATTTCTAAGGTTTGTCGAGTTGCCTATGAAATTATGCAGACATTGCATCCAGATGCTTCAGCATATTTCCATTCTTTGGATGATATCTACTACTTTGGGGGACAGAATGCCCACAACCAGATTGCTATTTATGCTCATCATCCACGAACTGCTGATGAAATTCCTATGGAACCTGGAGATATAATTGGAGTAGCTGGAAACCACTGGGATGGTTATTCAAAAGGCATCAATAGGAAATTAGGAAGAACAGGCCTGTACCCATCCTATAAAGTTAAGGAGAAAATTGAGACAGTCAAGTATCCTACATACCCAGAGGCTGACAAGTAGATTAAAAGGAAGACATTTGGCAGTAATTCTCAAGTTTGATTGGTTCAAACCAGTCAACACACTAATGGTTTATATGGGATTTGAATTTGAATTTTAACATGCAGTTAAAATCAAAGCCTTTAGCAATGAAACTGGATAAGAAGCTGAGAACAAATGGATGGGCTATTATCTGAACTTACTCTTAAACATTTTTTGTTATATGCACTCTCACACATGCACACACAAAACCACATACAACAGGAAAACTGTTGTTTTATACTATTTGTTTCTCTTCAGGATTTGTCCCAGTCATTAGTCTTATGTGAGCTTTGGGCTCTTTTCTCTGCCATTAATTGACAATAATGTTCAGACTTATAACACTGCCACATTGTGTAATTTGAGTGACATGAACATATTTTGTATGTGCAAAATTTAAAACATGGTGCCTATATTTGAAAAATTTGTGACCTTTTTAGAAGAGCCATGCCTATTTCACAGTAGGCAAGAGTCAATCTTCAACTGGTGTTACCGTGACTACTGAACTTGCTTCAAGCAACAGATTCAGATTTCAGACTAGATTTCTTTACAAGTTTATTTTTAGCATTCCATTGATTACTTCTCATCATTAATAAAATAAAGGATACATCCAACAATAAAATAATCACTGTCTTAGGAACTTTTGTAAAACAATGCCATGAACAAATTCTTTAGTACTGATAATGTTTCTGGACATTACTTTTATTTAAAAAAAAAACCTAAAACAAACAATAAACCAAACCACAAAACCCAGAAAGAAAAAAGTAGCTGGAGTTTCACTGAATTTTTAAACACTCATTATGTACTACAACAACAATAAAATAATCACTGTCTTAGGAACTTTTGTAAAACAATGCCATGAACAAATTCTTTAGTACTGATAATGTTTCTGGACATTACTTTTATTTAAAAAAAAAACCTAAAACAAACAATAAACCAAACCACAAAACCCAGAAAGAAAAAAGTAGCTGGAGTTTCACTGAATTTTTAAACACTCATTATGTACTACAACAACA